TTTTTTTTTGCCTTTGTGAGACAGGGTCTCCCTGTAGAGGGGCTGGCCTTGAACTCACAGAGATCCACCTGCCCCTCCCTCCAACCACACCCAGTAAGAAGAATGTAATTTTGATAAAGGCAGCATTCTTTATGGCAAAAGACAGGAGACTCAAATCTTCCTGTCACCACCAGGGGGTGTTCTCTGCTTAAAAGCTTTTCTGGAAACCTCACCTTGACAGGCTCAAATTTATCTTCTTCAAAGATCTGCAATCCCTTCAGCTCCCTAGATGGACTGCATAGTACTAACAAACACACATACTTGTTTCCCATGGTGGGGTGTTATACAATGCCAAATGACAAAGCTAAATAAATGCGAATGAGCTACTTAGGGCCCTGTGTGTTTTTTGTCAGTTTCCAGAACTCCCATATACTCTTATGTATGTAAGGTTTTGATTAGGATCAAATGTCATATTTCTTGCTTCTTTGGCGTTTTGCCTTTCTCTAGATTCTAGAGTCTAGAAGTCAAGATAGTTAAAATGAAAAATGACTCTGCAGGTAAAGGCACTTGTTGCCAAGCCTGACATCACGAGATCAATCCTTAGGACCCTCACAGTGAAAGGAGAGAAATGACTCCTTGCAAGTTGTCCTCTGACTTCTGAGAGTGTGTGTATATACACACAAACCACAAACAAATAGAACTTTTGATTTTTTGGGGGGGGTTCTTTTTGACCAGCTGGCCTGGAACTATGTAGACCAGGCTGGCTTGAACTCGCAGAGATCTGTCTGCCTCTGCCTCCAGAGTGCTGGGGTTAAAGACAGGGGCTAGAGAGCTGGCTCAGTGGTTAAGAGCACTGGTTGCTCTTGCAGAGGACTCGGGTTTGGTTCCCAGCACCCACATGGCAACTTCGCGTCTGTAACTTCAGTTCCAGGGGTTCTGACACCCTCCTCAGACCTCTGTGGGCATTGTACAACACGGGAACACTTAAATGCATGTAGGCAATACATTCATACACATAAAAAAATAAAATATTTTTAAAATAAATTAAAATAGGGCCGGATGTGGTGGCGCATGCCTTTAATCCCAACACTTGGGAGGCAGAGGCAGGCGGATCTCTGTGAGTTCAAGGCCAGCCTGGTCTACATAGTGAGTTCCAGGACAGCTGGGGCTACAGGGAGACCCTGTCTCAAAAAGACCAAAAACTAATAATAATAAAAAAATAAAAATAAATTAAAATAAATTTTTTAAAAAACTTAAAAGACAGCCAGGCGTGGTGGTACACGCCTTTAATCCCAGCACTCAGGAGGTAGAGGCAGGCAGATACTGAGTTTGAGGCTAGCCTGGTCTACAGAGTGAGTTCCAGACACCTGGAGCTACAGGGAGACCCTGTCTCAAAAAGACCAAAAAAAAAAAAAAAAAAAAAACCCAAACAAACAAACAAACAAAAAAGACATTAAAAATTTGTTTGTTAACAAAGTCAAAAACCAAAAATACTTATTAAAAGTGAGCTATAGGGGCCAGTAAGATGGCTCAGTGTGTAAAGTCTACTGCCACATAGTCCTCTGATCACTCCCCCAACACACACAGTGGCATGCACACCCACATGCATGTGCAAACATACACAGTAAATAGAAAAGTGTAATAAAATTTTTCTGAAAAAAGTTAGCTGTGGAATTTTAGGCTGTTTGCTTCCTGAATCTAAGTCCAGAGAAAGCAATTCCCAGTCATCTCAGACTGGCACACTGTAGGATTCTCTAGGCACTCCGGAGCACTTAAAGTCTTTCTGCCCATGAGTCTATACATATGACCCATGAGTCTATACATATGCAAAGGCCCTTGAACAGAAATGTAGACAACAATCTTACAATAAGAAGCCAGATGGCAGCCTCACATTTTTCCAGTGACATAGTGACACTTCTCACTTCGATCTCACTCAATCTTTTATTGTCTTTCTCCTGCTCTCCCTCCCTCAATGCTCCCCTCTCCCCAGGACTAGAATCTGAACGTAGGCCCTCATGTATGCTAGAAAGGGGCTGGAGAGATGGCTTAGTGGTTAAGAGTGCTTACTGCTCTTGCAGAGGACCTATATTCGTTTCCCAGAACCCATATTAAGTGGCTCACAAACACCTGTAACTCCAGTTCCAGGATCTCCCATGCCCTCTGGCCTCAGGTTCCTACATCCATGTAGTACATATAAACTTGTGAAGGCACATACACATAAATAAAAATAATAAATCTTTTTAAAACAATTTGCATGGGGTTGGAGAGATGGCTCAGTGGTTAAGAGCTCTGGCTGCTCTTGCGGGGGACCTGGGTTTGGTTTCCAGCACCCACATGGCAGCTATAATGCATCTGTAACTATAGTTCCAGGGGATCTGATGCCTCCTTCTGGCCTCCATGGGCATTCATGCACATAGTGCACTTACATACAGGCAAAACATTCATACACATAAAATAAAAATACTTTTTAATAAAAGAAAGCTGGGCATGGTGGTACACACATTTAATCCCAGCACTCTGGAGGCAGAGGCAGGTGGACCTCTAAAAGTTTGAAGTCAGCCTGGTTTACATAGCAAGTTCAAGTCAGTGCCAGCCAAGGTTACATAGTGAGATCTTGTCCCAAAGAATTAAAGTTTAAAAAAAAGCTGAGGCTGGAGAGATGATGGCTGAGTGGTTAAGAGTACTGGCTGCTCTTGCAGAAGAAATCCCAGCACCTATATGTTGGCTAACAACTATCTATAACTCCAGTATTCTAGAGGAAAAGGCAGGTGGATCTGTTTAAGTTCAAGGCCAGCCTGCTCTACATACAGTGAGTTCCAGGCCATCCAGGGCTACATAATGAGACCCTCTCTCAAAAAATAAATAAATAAATAAACATAAAAGAAAAAAATAAATAAATAAATAAATAAATAAATATGAGCAGTATGTGTTCATAACTGCTGGGCCATCTCTCCAGTCCAAAAAGTACAATTTTTGAAGTCAGAAAAGAGTTAGGTTTGAATGCAGCTCCATCAGTGGTTACCTACATGGCCTTCAGAGATACTTTATTTCCTAAGCCTCAGATTCCCCACCTACAACATGTATATAACAACATCTACCTTGCATAGAACATAGAGGGACACAAAGGCAGAGACAATCAAAAGATTTCTTTCTTTTTTTTTTCCCAGTCTTAGGCATTGAACCTAGGACCTCAGGCATGCTAGATAAGTGCTCTACCTCTGAGTTAGACCCTCAGCCCTAGAAAGATAAAATATAAAATCCAAATAAATAAGCTTACAGACTAATAACTACTGGTCCTCAGACCCCCACCAGAATAATCTCTCCAAAATATAAGTCTATTCAGATCAGACTTCTATGAACCTTCCATAAAGGCAGGTAAAAGTGTAAATTAAATTAGTGTGGCTTTCCTAAATAACATCTTTTTTTTTTTTTTTTGTCTTTTTGAGACAGGGTCTCCCTGTAGCCCCAGCTGGCCTGGAATTCACTGTGTGGACGAGACTGGCCTTGAACTCACCAAGATCCACCTGCCTCTGCCTCCCAAGTGCTGGGATAAAAGGCGTGCACCATCATGCCTGGCCTAAATAGCAGGCATCTTTCAAACTAAACTCTCAATCTCTTGACACAGAGTCTATTCTTCCTCCACTCTTCTCC